TTACTGTAGTTGATGTGTTACCTTAGCAACTGCAGAAACGCCACTACAGATTAATTACTGTAGTTATGTTACTACAGCAACAATGGAATCATCACAACAGATTAGTTGCTATAGTTGTTGTGTTACCATAGCAACTGTAGAATCAATACAACAGATTAATTACTCAAGTTGTTGTGTTAAAATAACAACTGTAAAATCAGTGCAACAAAATAATTTCTATAGTTGCCGTGTTACCATAGCAACAGTAGAATCAGTACAACAGAATAATTACTGTAGTTGTGTTACCATAGCAACGTAAAATCAGCGCAACAAATTAATTACTATAGTTGCCGTGTTACCATAGCAACTGTAGAATCAGCACAACAAATTAATTACTAGTTGCTGTGTTACCATAGCAACCATAAAAATCAGTACAACTGATTAATTACTATAGTTGTCGTGTTACTATAGCAACTGTACAATCAGTACTACAGATTAATTACTATAGTTGTTGTGTTACCATAGCAACCGTAGAATCAGCGCAACAAATTAATTACTGTAGTTGTTGTGTTACCATAGCAACTGTAGATTCAGCACAACAGATTAATTACTATAGTTGTTGTGTTACCATAGCAACTGTAGAATCAGCGCAACGAATGAATTACTCTAGTTGCCGTGTTACCATAGCAACTGTAGAATTAGCACTACAGATTATTACTATAGTTGTTGTGTTACCATAGCAACCGTAGTATCAGTACAACAAATCAATTGCTATCGTTGTTGTGTTACTATAGCAACTCTAGAATCACCACAACAAATACATTGCTAAAGTTATTGTGTTACCATGGCAACTGTAAAAACATTTCAACAGATTAGTTCCAGTACTCTATTATAGTATGGTTCAAACACGCTAAAGTATTTGCAGTAAATTACTGTAGTATTTTTTTCATGTTAGATGGAAAATAGGACAACATCTCCAAAGACAGTAGAGCACAACAGAGCGGTTCAGTTCACAAGAGCGCAACTGCAGACCAACGCATTCATTTTGTCCTTAAGTCACGATAAACGCTGCTCGACAACAACGTACACTTCATTTATTAATTTTCTTAGTTTGAAATCGTTCACTTTAATTCTGCTGCACTAATACAGAAACCCACCAATAGTGCTTTTATTATGGAAAATGCAAACAAAACATAATAAAAGTGACCCGCCATCCTGTCTGTCAAAACTGTCAGATATATGTAAATTGATTTGGTAATATTTTACAATAAGTTCCTAGTAGTTAATGAGCTAATGCATTAAATAACGGTGAACAATACTTGTGTAATTGTGTTAATAAATGCAGTTAATAAATATGCAACTATAGGTCACATATATGGAATAATATTATTAACAGTAAATTATTAACGAACGAACTTACTAACGAAGATTAATCATTTGTTCATGTCATTTTGTTCACTAACAATGAGCAAAAAGATTGTCCATTGTAAGTTTACTAACTAATGGAGCCTTAATGTTAAGTCTTTAAATTTGATTTTTAAATTATTTAATATATGTTGTTAAATATACGCTTCACATTTTAAATATGGCCAACAGCTTACAGTAATGATTGTACACCAATTATTAATCTCACAAAAATGCATTGTGAATTAAGTGGATTTTAAAATAATCTATAGAAATTTACAGTGAGATTGTTTAGATCCAATCAATTCGAGGGTATCCTCAATATTTTGATTTAATTTAACAGAGCCAGTGATTTATAGTCAATATTTATGTTGTATATAAACACAAAGCCAATTGTTTATTTCATTTTATACAGCCGATGGTTTAGATTTAATATTTTATTTGAATAATTCTGGTTCCAATTTTCACTGATCTGTTTTGGAGTGATGGGGATTTAATAAATAAATAAAAAGGAGTCAATCCCAGTTGCGCTCGAAATACAAACACAAGTACTTCATGTTGTTGTCATGTACCACATTATAAGGCTCTATTATTTTAAAGTGCATAATACTTGGAGAGCTCGTCAAGAACTTCAGCGACAATAATAATGACATTTCAAGACTGTACGAGTGCTTAACTGACTAAACGCAGAGACGATACGTGAGAATAAAGACCATGAGTACACAACAGTGGCCCCCGAACGATACACACTTCAGACACGATTAGGCATGGGACGATAATGCGGTTTGGAAAAGTCAAGGATTAAAAAACGTTAACATTTTCCGTTATACCAATGGTTTTTTTAAGGTGTTTATTATGACTTTTATTCAGCTGTTAGGGTATCTCCAGCAGCAAATGACCATCCACATCGAAAGCTACTGGTCATGCCCATGAATCAGCAAACAAATGGCTTATAAACCAACATCCGTGCATGCTACGGCTCTCAACAGTGCAGTGGTTTACTTTATATCCAAAGAAAATAAAGATATCCTTTTCAAATTGTAAAGAAATCTGCGTTTTTGAAACAAATGAAGACAGCAGAAGTCTATTATTTATTTTAATGATGTAGCCCGACGTGTTTACTGCTTCAAAATGTTTCTTAAAATAAAATATATTGTGTTTAATTTGGAATAAAAGTCGTTTTTCAACCAATACATTAAAAATAAAAAAAATTAATAAAAATTTCGAGCAGTAATACTGTGAAACGGTGATATTTATACCTAAGGTTATCATATCGGCCCATGCCTAGACACGATGTTTGTGCTAAACACACACACAAAAACACAACCGCCTTCCACAAATCAGACGCACATCTCGCAGTTTCCACTTTGCGTTATTAAAATACACAGTAGTGACGTCAAGCAAATAATGACATTCGTAAGACGAGAGAAGCTCTCGAGTCCCTGATGTTCAGAAATGAAGCGCGAGATGATGAGGACGCTCGTCTCCCTCGCTAAACTAGGAAGAGGTTTTGATGCTCACCGTTGTCCCCTAGTGGTGAGGATGACAAACTGCATGACCGCATGTTTCCTAGTGGCTCCCCGGTTTGGGTCGCGGAGATGAACGGGTCAGGAAATGCTCACTGGTCCACCGACGGGACGAAATCTGGGCGGCGTGTCTGGATGATTTTGGGCCGAGCACGTTTTGTTTTCCACCCTCGGCGTTTTCATCTTCTCCTTCTGAACTGTCGTCTTCACACACGTGCACGATCACACTGGGTGTGTTGGTGGTCCCGGAGTGGAGCTCGTACTGCTCGCCTGAGCACACACACAGACAGTCATATTAGGAACACACTGCACAAATCAATAATGGCCAACATCCAATCAAAATCCCTTTAAAGGGAACCTATTAAAAAAAAAATTAGGGTGTTAAACACATTTTTACGAAAACATTGTGTAATTAAACAGCCTGATCTCACGAGAAAATTTAAGTATTTTACATTTTGTCAGTTTAGTGGCTAATTCGTACAAGTTCAGTGGTACAAAATTGTACGATTTTAAAAAGAAAGCGTGGAGCAAATCGTACGAATTAGATCATACAAATTTATACGAATTAGCCAGTAAATCAAAAAGTTCCGAATTGCCGTGAGAATGTTAAATTATAAGCTGCTTGTAATGGTAAAAATGTCTTAATTGTATTTGTTATAGTCAGACTTGATAAAAACATTCTGGAGAAACGCTTTGATTGGCATTCTCCCTTTGTACGAGTCATCAGAGGGGGAAAGCCCCGCCCACTAGACACCATCTCTCCCTCATTAGCATAGGATGTTCATCTTGTTTTCGAATCTGCCACTATGCTGACACACAGGCATTCGTAGCTTTGCCCTCTTTTGAAAAGAGCACAATCTCATTTGAATTTAAAGAGACAGTCACCAAAACACCACAATTAGGATCAAAGCCTAAAAGGAGCAGTTTCAGAGAGTTATAAAGCATCATTTGTATGGTATTTTTAGCAAAACACACACACACACACACACACTCTCTCTTTTAGGACATCAGAGACTTAGGGTGCTTTCACACCTACACTTTTGTTTGGGAACCTGTCTCGTTTGCCCAGTTAGCGTGGTTCGTTTGCCATATGTGAACCACCAATCGCTCTCGGATCCAGCCAAATCAATCGCTCCAAGATTGAGTTAGGTGGTCTTGGACCGATTGAAACGAACTCTAGAGCGGATCGATTGCAGTGAGAAAGCAATCCGATCCGAGCGCGGTTATATCACAGTGTTTTATGGATATGTAATAGGCTTACGGCTATATGAAGAGAGAATTATGAGTAGGGCGGAAAGTTTCGGGAGTCTCCGGATGCCCGCAAACGAGTGATGATCTCCCGGTAATCTCGCGTCTCCCTCTCGGTCCTCAAATAGGCATCGTCGCGCACCCTTCTCACCCCTCTCCACTGCATCTCTCAGACACGTCGAGCGCACTCTGTCAATCACCACCAAACCACCACCTCTCCTGACAGCTGAACGGGACGCTGCAAAATAAACCCTGACACTCTGACCAATGTGAGGAGAGTTTACTTGCACGTGACTTGTTTTAGCTCTTTGCAGTGTGAAAGCGAACCGCTCCAAGACCAAAGAGCAACAATGTAACAATTGTAATATCAGTTTCGGAACAACTGAATCGATACACAGGTGTGAAAGCACCCTTATTTTACATATTGTAAAAAGGGGCATATTAGGTTCCCTTCAAAGTGACCATGAAATCAAAATGTACTCTTTTTTTTTATATGTATATAGTAGTTTAAACGACATCTCTGTGCACTTCATTATTTTGTAAAAATTAATTTACCCTCATAAACTTTACTCCAATACCTTCCCTCCTCGTTTGAAATGACTTTTCATCATTTACATTTTACATTTACATTTAGTCATTTAGCAGACGCTTTTATCCAAAGCGACTTACAAATGAGGACAAGGAAGCAATTTACACAACCAAGAGCAACAATGAATAAGTGCTATAGGCAAGTTTCAGGTCTGTAAAGTCTAAGAAGGGAAGTATTAGTAGTATTAGTTTTTTTTTTTTTTTTTTTTTTTTTGTACAGTTAGTGTGATATTCAGAGAGGCAATTACAGATTAGGAAGTGTAGTGGAGACTAAATAGTTGAGTTTTTAGTCGTTTCTTGAAAGTAGCGAGTGACTCTGCTGTTCTGATGCAGTTAGGGAGTTCATTCCACCAACTGGGCAGATTGAGCGTGAGCGTTCGCGAAAGTGATTTCTTCCCCCTTCCCATCAGCTCCTGGTCACATGGAGTTCCTTTAGGGCGGGACTATTGGTGTTTTAGGGCGGGGCTATCTGCATTTCTGCTCTGAATTGGTCCATTCCTCAATCTTTCTTTATTTTGTTAGCAACAGCCAGTTTCAAGTCAGTTCCCAAAGAACGAAATCATGGACCGCCCTACATATTTTACTCAGTTCAGGACTGATTGAAGTGGATCTACATCATGAAAGTGGAAAAAAAGGACAAACTTTACTTCTGTTTTATGGCGACTGTTGGGGAAATATTTGCATTTCGTAAATTATTTTGATTAATTTAAAGGTGGATTAGCGAGGCAGTGGCGCAGTAGGTAGTGCTGTCGCCTCACAGCAAGAAGGTCGCTGGGTCGAACCTCGGCTCAGTTGGCGTTCCTGTGTGGAGTTTGCATGTTCTCCCTGCGTTCCCGTGGGTTTCCTCCGGGTGCTCCGGTTTCCCCCACAGTCTAAACACATGCGGTACAGGTGAATTGGGTAGGCTAAATTGTCCGTAGTGTATGAGTGTGTGTCTATGAATGTGTGTGTGGATGTTTCCCAGAGATGGGTTGCGGCTGGAAGGACATCCGCTGCGTAAAAACTTGCTGGATAAGTTGACGGTTCATTCCGCTGTGGCGACCCCGGAATAATAAAGAGACTAAGCCGACAAGAAAATGAATGAATGAATAAAGGTGGATTAGGTGACTGTCTTTAGAAACATTTTTGTTTTTGTTTTGCTGGTTGAAAATCTCTCACATCCTGATAGCTATTCTGAATAAAATAAAAATAATACTATTAAAAAATATCTTACTGACCCCAAATCTTAAACTGGCATTGTATATGATGCATACATTTGATATAGAGTTGAAGTCAAAATTATTAGCCCTCTTGTGTGTGTGTTTTTTTTATTTCCCAATATAATGTTTAACAGAGCAAGGAATTTTCCACATTATACATATCACTTTACCTAATTAACCCAGTTAAGCCTTTAAATGTCACTTTAAGAGAATCAGAATCAGGTTTATTGCCAGGTGTACTTCACACACACAAGGAATTTGTTTTGGCAACAGAAGCTTCCAGTGTACATGAAGTGACAACACAGAATAAATATGGAAAAAAAGACGATAAACATTAAACAGAGATGCAGCTAGTCAAGAAATCAGGATGTTGGGTTGTACAGTATGTACAGATTTGTTATAAATATACAGGTTATATGATGCTGTGTACAATTGCGAATGGAGAAAGTATTGCAGTGTATATTGATATAAGGTGCTGTGTACAAGTGTGTATGAGAAAGTATTGCACATGTTTATTGCACAGTTGTGGGATAGTTAACTGTTCATGAAGTAGATGGCCAGAGGAAAGAAACTTTTCCTGTGCCTGGCTGCTTTTGTGCTTGGTGCTCTGAAGCACCGACCAGACAATAACAGTTCTAACAGCTAGTGTGCTGGGTGCGAGGCGTCCAGAGTGATTTTGCGAGCCCTTTTACTCACTCTGGAAGAGTACAGTTCTCGATATGTAGGAAGGGTAGCGCCAGTGATACGTTCAGCAGTCCTGACTATTCGCTGTAGTCTATGGAGGACGGATTTGGCAACTGAGCCGAACCAGACGGTGATTGAAGTGATTTAGGCTGAATACAAGTATCTTGAAGAATATCTAGGATGTTTCTCAATTCCAAGAACGCAGAGAACGGACTTGTGTTCTTGTGGAGACCGGTCTTGCCAGGTGTCCTCGGAAGAACAAACTCAGGAGACCGCGAGGGTTGAGAACGCGTCCTTTGAGAAATGAGATGCTGCGTTCTTCCTGATGGTCACGTGACCTTCGCGCATTTTAAATGGAAATTATTTAAACATTACAGGATTCATACAGCGATTTATTGTTTTTCCCCTCTTCAAAATATATACTTTGCATAAAAACATTATAAGTACACTCTGCATAATATAAATAAAACACATTTTAATACGAATTTCAGCAAACAAACACCCTTAATGTGTTTATTCCTTTATTAAGATGTTCTTGGTCATGTTTACTTTCACCGTTTCATTTAGGGAAACACCTGAGGTAAATAAATTAAATCTCTGAACTTTAATAATAAATCTAAATAAAATGCTGCGCTTCCCACCTCCAGTCGCAATGACTTCTGGGACTTCCAGAGCGAGTTCGGTGCTCAAGTCTGCATCGGTGCATCCTCCATATCAAGATCACATCCGGGAAGTTTCACGCGTCCTCCGTACTTGCGGTCTTGAGTATTTATTTATTATTATTATTATTTTTTATTAAACAACAAATATACAATTTAAACATGACATCCAAAAAATACAAAAGTAACTAATAACATAAATTAAAATAAATTACATAAATTAAACAAATAAAAAGACAATTCAACATTGAGGTCTTTACAATGATAATATTTTAACTTAACCAATTAACAGCAAGAGTACTAATCAATTAACTTCAGCTCCTTTGCCACAGTAATTAGCCGCATTTCCACTATCAGGCCAGTGCGAGCCAGGGCTTATATCGGGCCAGGCCGGGCCAATCGCCCGAGAGGTTGAGCAGTGAGGCCGAAATCATGTCACGTTTCCACTGTGGGGCTAGTAGCTCGCAGCGCGTCACGCAAACCCCGCCCCCTGACCATCCCCTGAATCGAACGTCACTCAAACCGCCCACTTCAGCGAGAATCATGCAGATAAAGCACATAATCACGAAACTATTAAAATTAGGACAACCAAAACAAACAAATCACATGTTACTGTACAGCAGTACAACCAATGTCTATACCCACATGCCTGTGTGTTTTCATTCATCATATTAATTTACTCGCCGACCGACTATTGGCATCGAAATCCAGTGGTCTTGCCACCAACGGAGGGACCCAGCGCAGGGAGCGCAAACATCCATAATATAACACCACATATATAAAATTCTCCGTTAATATCTCGATATAAAATGTATTTTATAACATCCTCTAGACAGAATCTGTCCAATATGCATCCCAAACGCTCCGGAGAGAACTGAAACATGATTTTTTTCCCCTATAGGCTTTATTACTCTTCATAGGTGATTCCCTTTATTTAAAGATGTTGCTTATTATATCTTAAGTAAAGGAAAGTGTTCAGTGTTTCAGGACATAAGAGCAGCACGTTTTCTTTCCCTTATTTATTTATTTGTTTGTTTATCTGTTTGGCGCATGTACTCGAGTGCGATCGGAAAACTGTGCCCGCCTCTCCTTTCACTCCGCCCCGAAGCCCCGTCTGGCCCTCTTTGGCCCAAGGTATTCCGAAAAAGGCCGGCCGCTGGCCCCAAGAAAGCCCCGCTTTGGCCCGATTAGGCCCCGGAAGTGACAGTGGAAACGCCACTGGCCTTGGCTCGCCCTGGTTTGCTCGCTTTAGGCGCGATAGTGGAAACGTGGCTATTGTATTTATACATTTTTCGCTCTTAATATATTGGAGCAATTCTATATACAAATGAAAGTCTGCAATAGCAACCTTTAAACAAGGTTTAGAGTTATTTAACCTGCATTTATGAACATGAAATTTGCCGAACAAAATTAAAAGATTCAATAAAAATTCCACAGATAAATTGTTTGAAACAAAACAAAAAATAACGTCTTTGGGGGTCAAATTGCAACTAAAACCTGATTTTTTTTTTGACATACAATGACAGATCTTCCCAAATTTTTTTTGAATATTCACAATCATAAAAAAGATGAATCAACATCTCTGGGTGATGCGGTCTTGAGTATTGAAACTGAACTTAGGCAGCGGATGAGGACGTTGCACGAGAACACGAGGACGCAAGACCGCTGAAGAACGCATATTGAGAAACAGCCCTAGTCTAATATTATGTGCTGTCATCATGGCAAAGATAACAGAAATCAGTTATTAGAAATGAGTTATGAAAACTACTGTGTTTAGAAATGTGCTGAGAAAATCTGTTAAACAGAAATTGGGGAAAACCAATATAGAAGAATTGAAATTTAACAGGAGGGCTAATAGTTCTGGCTGTACATTAACAGTGCAGCACAATGAAGGGTTTTCAGTCTCAGAGTACATATGGAAATGAGGTAAATGGGTTATACCTGGTCCTAGTTTGGACACGGCACACAACAGGTCATAGTTGATGACGGGCATTGCGTCCTGCGACTGCGCCCAGCCAACAGGGGGCGACGCTGGAGGAGAAATCAGGAACTGCTTCTCTGGTTTTGGAGGCTCAAGACGAGGACTGCCGATATGTACAGACTACACAGAGAAATGGAGGAAACAAAGCAGTCAGATGCATTTATTTATATTGCATTAATGCTGTAATCGTCTGTTTGAGCTATCCACAATATTATAATACAAGATCTAAAATAAGTCTCTGATGTCGCAAGAGTGTGTGTGTGTGTGTGTGAAAGTTTCAGCTCAAAATACCACACAAATGTTTTATAACTCTCTGAAGCTGACCCTTTTAGGCTTTGATTCAAATTGTGGAGTTTTAGTGAATGTCGCTTGACAGACTGTCGGACAGACGGCTGCCTCTCATTTAGGGCTGCTGATGTTTATGCTAATGAGGGAGAGATGGGCACTAGTGGGCGGGGCTTTCCCCTTCTGATGACACGTACAAGGGACACGTGTTTTTTGCAGACTGTTTTGATCAAGTCTGATTATAAACAATACAATTAATTGATCTTTACAATTCAAGGCTGGATATATTCACAAAGTTTTACCACAAAACCCCCTTTAAAAGTGATTATTGCATAATAGGTCTCCTGTAACTAAACAAAAATCCATTGCTAAACACTGAAGCACCTCATATTATACTTATATACAATATGGTGATAAAATAATGTGACTGTACATTAGCGTTAATTTTGTGTACCTGAGCGAAATACAGGCGCATCTCCTTTCCATTGAAGTCACTTTTATGCAGCTTGACTCGAGCCTCAGCCGCCGCCAGCGCATCCGTGAAGTTGATCCGAACTCGTCTGAAGCTTTTGAAGAACTGGAATGATGTGCCAGGATCAAACGCACGAAACAAAGCCTCAAACTGCTCCTGATGATGAAAAACAAGACAGAACGGTCATATAACAAGATGCAGATGAAACTAGACAATCAGACTGTCACTCACAGGAGAATAACAGAAAATAACGCAATTTCCTTCATGACTGCGAACATCAGGTATGAGCGGACAACAGAAACTACACTCCAAAAAGAATGACATCTGCTGTGTGTCAAACTACTTCTTGAAAATGAGCTGAAACAAGTTTTTTTGGGACAACTTAATTGTTTATGTTCAATCCACTTGAATTTGTAATGATGTACAAGTTAACTTAATTTTTTAATGTTGTCCCAACACAAATTTAAAGCATTTTCTTGCAATGTACAGGCCTCAATCGTGAAAAGTCATTTATAAAATAATTCTTGCATATATAGTGAAGCCTAAAGTTATTAATAGAGTTGAAGTCAGAATTATTATTATTATTATATTAGATTTTTTTTCTTTTTTAAATATTTGCCAAAGGATGTTTAACAGGGCAAGGAAATTTTCACAGTGTGTCTGATAATATTTTTTCTTCTGGAGAAAATCTTATTTGATTTATTTTTGCTAGAATAAAAGCAGTTTTAATTTTTTTAAACACCATTTTAATGTAAATATTATTAGCCCCTATAAGCTATATTTTTTTTAATACTGTCAATTTTCTAAATACTTTCAATTTTTCAATATCTGTCTAACTTACTGTAATTGTTTATGTTCAATCCACTTGAATTTGTAAAAATGTACAAGTTAACTTAATTTTTTTAATGTTGTCCCAACACAAATTAAAGCATTTTCTTACAATGTACAGATTTATAAAATAATTATTGCATATATAGTGAAGCCTGAAGTTATTCAAACAGTTGAAGTCAGAATTATTATTATTATTATTATTATATTAGATTTTTTTTTCTTTTTTAAATATTTCCTAAAGGATGTTTAACAGAGCAGGGAAATGTTCACAGTGTGTCTGATAATATTTTTTTCTTCTGCAGAAAGTCTTATTTGTTTTATTTTGGCTAGAATAAAAGCAGTTTTTAATTTTTTAAACACCATTTAAGGTCAATATTATTAGCCCCTTTAAGCAATTTTTTTTCAATATTCTACAGAACAAACCATCATTATACAATAACTTGCCTAATTACCCTAACCTGCCTAGTTAACCTAAATAACCTAGTTAAGCCTTTAAATGTCACTTTAAGCTGTATAGAAGTGTCTTGAAGAATATCTATAGTCAAATATTATTTACTGTCATCATGGCAAAGAGAAAATAAATCAGTTATTAGAAAATGAGTTATGAAAACTATTATGATTAGAAATGTGTTGAAAAAATCTTATTTTGTTAAACAAAAATTGTGGAAAAAATAAACAATTATAACAATTCAGGGGCTAATAATTCTGACTTCAACTGTATAGTGAAGCCCAAAATAATTCATGCTCAGGCAAATTTTTTTTCCTGAAGTTTTTGTTCAAATGTAAATAAAAGCTGATATTTTTTTTCCCACAACAATGCCTTTTGTATATTGTCTTTTTTATCTTTTTGGGAGAAGCTGATGTAATTTCCAGTCCAAAAAAAAAAAAAAAAAAAAACCTTGCTGGTCAAATAAAAGTAACTTTAAGTAGGGATATGCCAGAGGTATGAATAATTTTGGGATTGACAATATACAGTAGGGAAAATGACTGAATAAATCCATATATGCAATGAAAATAAAATGAAAAGATGCAGGGGGAAAGTATTAAACACATGAAGAAAGGGAGTTGTAGTTCGGCAGGGAAAGCCCAGACAGCAGCTGAAATGTCTCAGTAGTTCTTCAGCAAGCCTCTGCCCTTCTTCAGTGTAAATGAAGATCAACTGCTTTAGTCCAACATCTACATTAGCAGGAGGATGAAGATGGACATTCAGCAGGACAATGATCAAAACACAGCCAAGGAGACTCTGTTGAACATTTTCCAGATTTACTTTATTTTGTTTTATTCTTATATTATTATTTTTTTTTATTAAATTTATTTAAGTTAATTATTCATCGTGTTCATTTGTCTTAGTAATAAGTAGGTTTGTGGTTAAAAAAAAAGAAAAACTAAATGAAAATACCTTTGTTACTGAACCCCTGCAACGTGTTGAACTTTGTTTTCTCAAAAACACAATAAAAAGTCATTTATCCCTGTGAATTTATCTCAGCATCATTACTTCAGTAACCCAATGTCCTTCAATATATATATATATATATACACACAAACACACACATATATATATATACACACATATATACACACATATATACACACACACACACACACATATATATATATACATATATGGGTTAGGGTTAGGGTTAG